GTGTGGGACTTGTATCGCTCTGACTCACTCTCTACTGGACCTAACATCATAACCCTGGATACATATGTCCTGCTTCCCCTTCAAACCCCTGCGGCCATAGCTGCCTTGAACCTCCTGTAACCCAAGTCTCGATGTTGCACAAGCAGCAAGCAGCACTTCCGCATTCTCACGAATGAACCATTGATCCTGCTTGTTGATGCCCCTGGGCTTTTATACTTGCCAATCTTCCTTCCAGGCAGCTTCTGTTGGTTATGGTCGGTCCCCTTGCCTTTGTTCCTTGCTTCTGGAAGCTTACGAGACTCTTCTTGGTTTTGGCTGCTGGCCTGGGTCGACTGACACCTGGCCTCACGACTCTGGTGATGATCCTGGCTGAAGCTTGTGGTGCCTTCTGAAGACAGACTCTTCAGCCCATAACTGTTACCTACCAGGGACTTCCTATCACAATCTACTTAACTAGCCCGCCTAGACCCCTCTGCAATCATCGTACAAATGAAAACTACCCTACTTGAGTATTCGCGAACATTGTACAAGATGAACAGTGTGTGTGCCAATTGCACTGCAACAGCCATTAGTAGTAGCTTGAATTGGCCTTGGTCTGCCTCCGACCGGTACCAGTCGCCCGCGGCCTGTCTGCTGCATGAATATGTGTGGTCCGGTAGCTTCCCACTTTCTTGGGACGCTGCTGCAAATTTGGACTTTGGGACTGGACCTACTGGGTCCTGGTTGGGACTGGGACTATCTGGGACTGAGACAATTTTGGACCCAGGATATGGGACTTGGGATGTCTGCAGGGTGAAATTCTTTTTTTTTTTTTTTTTTTTTTAATTTGGACCATATCTCGATTTATATGTGTCATCCTTGCACAGGCACCATGCTAATCTTCTCTGTGTCATTCCAATTTTAACGGATGTCTCAAAGGACCTGCAGCGTGAAATTCTTTCGTTGATCGTCGCTGCCCGCCTTCGTCGAGGTTGTGCTCCCGCCGTCGACGCCTGTCGCTGCCCGCCATCACCGAGGTGCCCGTCGTCACTGCCGCCGCCGCTGCCCGTCGTCGTCGATACGGTACCGTTGCGCAAAGTGCCACGTGTGCTCTCTCTCTCTCTCTCTCTCTCTCTCTCTCTCTCTCTCCTCCTCCTCCTCCTTCGTCATCCTTTTCTTTTTCTTTTTTTTTCGTCGATGTATCAAGAAACCGGCAGATCCTACTCCTCCTCCTCCTCCTCCTCCTCCCTTCGTCTTCTTCTCTCCTCCTCCTTTCTCCTCCTCCTCCTCCTCCTCCTCGTTAGTTTTCTTTATTTGAAGTGCCACGTGCCACGTGTCAGCCGAAGTTCGGAGTTCCTCCTCCT